CCGGTACGGGCGCGACACTGAGGGTTGCAATCTGTTGCCAGTCATGAAAAAAGACAAAAAGGAAAAAAAAAAAAGACAAAAAAAAAAATAATAATAAAATAAAATAAAATAATTAATTAATTAAATAAAATATCTAGAATACGCAAATTCCTAGAGACAAAAAGTAGATTGGAAGTTTACAGGGGCTGGAACGGGGAATGGGAATTATTGCGTAATGGGTACAGTTTCTCTTTGTGTGATGAAAACATTTTGGAAACAGGTAGCGGTGATGGTTGCCCCCTATCCAGAGGCTTCCCTGATGTTCTGCACAATGGCATGGTCTTCACTTTAGTCTCAGCCCTCGCGTTACACTTTGGGGTGACAGGTGACTGGATGACTGTCTGAATCTGACTCCCCAACTAGCCTGGAGGCACCATCTCTGCCGCTGTCATCCCTGTGTCACCAGTGTCTGGCGCAGGGCAGATGGAGCAGACGGTCAGCCAACAGCTGTTGGGTGAACGAGTGCAGACAGGCTGTGAAGGGCGGACAGGAGTTAATTAGGTGAGAAGGGGGAGGGCAGTGTCATAGGACCAAGAAGTCCGGAGTAGCTGGAGTGTAAATGTCTGGCCTAAATTGAGGCTGGAGAGGTAGACAGGGCCTTACGCAACCTGATTCATGCTTTTAAAAGATCATTCTTGCTGCTTAGTGGAGAATAGACTGGAAAAGACAACAATCAAGGAGTCAGGACTACAGGTTCAGGTGGCCTCAGCAGGGACAGTGCTTCTTATGACTGGGGGTATTCAAGCATAGTCTGCGTGGGTATGGGTGGGAATGCCATCAAGGAGAGTCAAGTGCTGATGGGATGGCACTGGGGCAGGCCGACTTGCGTTGAGACCCTCTATCTCCCTATCCTGCCCCACCACCTTGAGGAGGAGCCCACAGCCTCACCCCACCCACTCCAGCGCCTGCAGACCTGGCCTGGAGCCCACGCACACGAGCCTGCACTCGGGGCAGGAGGCGGAGGTGCTGGCGGGAGATGCAGGCACGGAGGCGGCGGTGCAGGGTGAGCAGGGCCTGGGAGCGCTGCTGGGCACAGAGCCGCTCCAGCTGCTGCCAGCCCTGCTCCCGCAGCAGGACCTGCGGGCAGAGGCGTGGGCTGCAGGGAGCTGCCAGGGGTCGGGGCCCACCTGCTCTCCTCAGGCCTCAGACTCCTTCCTTCCAGCCAAATGCTCTACTCTTCTGGGGTGCCCAGAACAGTCGGCCACCCAGCCCCACTCCATCTCCCCACGACTGTTTGTCCCGGAATGCTCCTCTCCTTTCCATTCATGCCTGCCCCTGGCACACAGAGACATGCACCCACCTTGGTGGTTCCAAGGTGATAAAGCGAGGACTCAGCCCCCAGCACCTGGCTCAGGATGGCACCACACCTCTCCCGGTCAGAGGGGTCCTCCTGCCCCTCGGTCCCCAGGGCCTGGAACCTGCCCCAAGGATGGAGAACCAAGGTCAGAACAGCGAGGACCTCCTTCCACAATTGTCGCTTGACACCTCTAGCCCGTTGGTATTTATTCAGCATCTAGGTCATTCCACAACTTGGAAAGCACCCACTATGTGCCAGGTGCTCCTTGGGTGCTGAGACCTGGCCATGAACCGGGCGGGTAGGGCCTCTGCTCTCCTGGAGTTCATGGGAGAAAGGTCGTGAGAACACTGTGCACTGACAGGGCCCCGGGGACCGGTTCCAGACCACGGGAGCTTCAGCCTCGTTTACCACTCTCTCCTCGGTGCCTGGCATGCCCGACACAGGGTGTCCAGGCGTGGCTATGGATGGGAGAGAGGAGGCTTCCCGAGAGGCCATCCAGTCCATGGCCAAGGCCAAGTAGGCAAACAACAAAATAGACAAAGTCACCAGCTTCTCTGGAGGTTTCTGAACTCCCCGAACAGAGCTGCCTCTGGTGTTGCTGGCGGCTCCAGAGCCACCCCATCCCCCTCTGTGCGATGCCAACCTGCCAGCTCCATGCGGCCACCCCTCCATCCCATCTGAAAGGCTCTGCTCTCGCTCCACCCTCACTAATTCAGCAGCACTTCCAGAACATCGACTGTGGGCCCCCTCACTAGCCGGTGAGCCCCAGGGCAGGCATTGTCCCTTCTCATCTGTGACCCGTGGGCATTAGCACAGGAGGGGTTGGCTGAATGGAGGAGCTGAGGATGAAGGCACAGAAGGACAGTGAGTAGTGGAAGGAGGGACAGAGGCAGGGAGGGCTGGATGCCAGGCCTGGGCTCCTGGGGAAAGTGGGTCCATCTCCACCCAGAAGGAAACCTAGAGCTGCCACTCATCCCAGGGGACTTCCGGGTCAGTCCTGTCCCTAGTGCCTGGGCCCTCAGCTGCCCCATCCTGGGATCCTACCTGGCCAGGAACTCCTGGAAGGGCAAACGCACAGGGAAGCTGGCACTGCGGGTGCCTATGACCTCCAGGATGCCCGCCTGGTGCAGCTGCTCTGCCACGTGTCCCACGTCAAAGAGGCCTGGAAGCTGTGGTCAGGAGACAGAGCCAGCGAGAGCTGCAGTCCTGGGGCTGATAGCTGTGGGAGTGAGGGGCCGAGAAGGGAAGGGCAGGGGTGGGAGGGTTTTGGGGACCAGGTGCTAGGGGAGCTCACCTTTCCACGGTTGGGGTTGAGGCACTGGATGAAATAGAAGCGGCTCCTGATGAGTGGAGGGAGGGTCACTTGGGCACAGACCAGCCCTCCATCCACTTCCCAGGGTCTGGCGCGGGGGCACTGTTCTCACCTGCCCAGCTGGGCTATGAGGTTGCTCAGGGACTGCTGGAAGCGAGAGGCCAGCGTGGGCTTGCCTCGCCCTCCCCCGGGTGGGGGCTCTGCTTCCTGGAACAGGCTGCCCACCAGCTGTGGGGCGAGAGGGCTTTGAGCGCCAACCACTTGGGCAACCGTGTCCAGGGGAGAAGGAAGAACGGGCGACAGAGTGTGGAGGGGGTGGGGGCCGGGGAGCAGGCAGGGGCACCTGGAGCTGGCTCTGGCTAAGCATCTCCACCACGGCAGGATCCAGATGATCCCGGTTTCTGTTCAAAAACTTGTGAACCTGCAAGAGACAGCATGGGCGAGGGGAGGAAAGAGGGCTGGGCGGGGAGGCCGGCTCCTCTGCTGAGCGATCCGGCCTCTGCCTAGTGATTTAAAAGGCCACCTGTCGTGTGGCCAGTCCCGTACATGCCCTTGGGTCTGTTACTGGACCTTCTATTTCATTCGGTCCATCCCTTATCAATACCACACCCTTTCATTACTGGGGCTTTAGAGCAGGTTTCAGTAGCTGGTAGAGTAAATCGCTCCTTCATCTGCTTTTTCAATATTTTATTGATTATTCTCATGCATTTCTTCTCCAGATAAAATGTCAGGATAATTTTTGTCAAAATCCATTCTTCTCCTCCTGTAAAAATTCCACTGGGGTTTTGACTAGAATTATATTACTTTTCTAGATGAACTGAGCAAGTTGACACTATTAAGCCTTCTCAACAGGAACGTGGTTTGTCCCTCCATTTTTAAGTCTTCTTTTTTGACTTTCAATATAGTTTCATCATTTTCTCTTTTTTCCAGCTCGTATTTCTTTTTGGGTAACTCCTGGGTAGTTTGCATTTTTAATACTACAGCCAGAGGGCGCCACCTCCTCCAGGAAGCCTTACCTGCCTCTCCCCACCCACCCTTTAAGCGTCCTACCCTTTATGCCAGGCCCCCCTCAGAGCCATGTGCAGTCCCCCTGGCAGACGTGGAATTCAGAAAGGGAAAGGAAACTCCATTCAGTGAGCTCCTACCATGTGCCAGGCACTTGCCAGGCTGTCTTTGTGTTCCTGCATTTAATTTTCAGGACAATGCTGTAGGACGGATTCCCATGCCCATTTTATAGATGAGGAAATGGAGGCTCAGAAGGTGAAGTAAACAGCCCGGAGCCAGGTCCATGCTTGTGCTCTGCCCTCTGGGTCTGGAGGGTCCCAAGGTCTCGACTCCTCCCTCCCATAATTCTCACCCAGAACACAGTAAATTATGCTCAGAACTGGGTGGAGACAATGGCCCGGGTAGGGACAGATGGCCAACCCTTACAAGGGGCCTGGTCTCACCTGTTGGGTGACTCAGCTTGGGAGGTCACAGCAAAGTCACATTGCCCTCACTGATTCATCCTGGAGTCTCGCCCTGAGGCCAGATACCTGGTAGGTGACGGTCCCGGCGTAGTGCCGCACTGTGAAGATGGGCAGGGGCAGCTGGGGCTTGGCATAGCTCGGGTGATCACCATGGTGGTAGTGGCACTTCTGGAGGAAGGTGTGGTCTGTGGCCTGATGAGAGAGAAGAGATGGCTTCCCTCAGGTCTTTGCACTGGACTGTGTCCCCAAGTGCCACATACCCTGAATATAAGGGCAGGTTTGGTTTGGGTTTCAGGGGGCTGGGGGGGGATGGCTGGCCGGTTCAGGGATCAAATCCTGGACCTTGGGGTTATCAGCACCAGATTCTAACCAACTGAGCTACCCAGCTAGCACTGGGCAGGTTGGTTTTGTTCCCCAAGACTTCTTCCTCAAACAGGGAGAGCCACTCCATACATGAGTCCTCACAAAGGATGCACGCTCTCCTTCTCAGTGACTTGACTTTGAACAACTAAGTGCTATCTGGGAAAGAAACACCACAGAAACCACCTCAGACAGTACCAGACTTGGCAGCTTATGGAGGACACCTGACAGAATCATTTAAAAGAAGCGGGAGGGCTGGCCGGTTAGCTCACTTGGGAGAGTGTGGTGCTAATAACGCCAAGGTCAAGGGTTCCAATCCCTTTGCTGGCCAGCTGCCAAAAAAGAAAAGAAACCAAGGTCGGGAGTCCCTAAGACAGACTTAGCAATCCTTCCTGGGAGCACAGTCCCACAGTGGCAGGTGCCTCTAAACAAGTCTTTCAAAGATCCCTTTCAAAAAGTAACCCAGGTAAAGGTTATTTTATGGAGCAAAAGAACATGTAACAACAAGGGCAGGGAAAACCTGCCTTCATGTTATGTGGATGGGAATGCCAGCCTTGGGGTAGCAATTCCAGGGTCAGCACCTTCTCAGACTCAGAGTGTTTGTTTCAAATAACATTGACCTAAGTGATGTTGATGAGCCCTGGAAAACCAGGGTAATTGCAGAAGTGGCTCTGGGACTTCAAAGACATCTGTGGCAAGTTCTAATAAAACTTCATGAAATGTGGGCTGGCTGGTTAGCTCAGTTGATTAGAACACGGTGTCATGGGCCGGCCCGGTGGCGCACTGGAGAGTGCGCCGCTTGGGAGTGTGGCGGCACTCCCGCCGAGGGTTCGGATCCCATGTGGAGACCGGTTCCCGCTCACTGGCTGAGCGCGGTGTGGGCGCAACACCGAGGGTTGCGATCCCGTTGCCGGTCCC